CTGTACTTGAACTTTAGTTTTTTTGAACTTTGACACAAGATTATTTATCAAGGATTATTTTCTCGTCTTGCTTTGAACACCGCGACTTTTCACCCTCTTTGACAACTCGTCCCAAAGGTGTTCGATAGGGTTTATGTCGAGACTACATGCTGGCCACTCCAAACATTAAATTGAAGCCCGTTCCAAGTAGTTACCAACGATCCTGTGAGGGGCCTTGCATTGTCACGCATAAAAATAAAACCGTCGCCAATTAGTGGCATGTAAGGACCAAATTCTTCTGATGACACATCTTCAATGTATCGCACAGCAGTTGGGAACCCTCGATGAAGATCAAGCCTATGCGACCTCCCATAGTAATCACGTCATACCATCACAAACAAATTGGAAACTTAAAAATGGTACAACTTAAAAAAATCAAACCACCGGAACATTAGAATGAAGCTTTACAAAAGCAAAAAAAAAACCAACAAAGAAGAGATTGATTATTCGAAGATTTATTAACAAAATCCAATGGTAAATACAATTGAAAGTGTTTATCTGTATTTTATTAACCTCTAATCCGTTAAAATTGTCTAAATATTGTTGAAAGATAATCAAACATATTAAGGGTGGCCACTTTTTTACCTTTCAGCGAATTTATTGCTCTTAGCATTTTGCATAATAAATGTAATAAAGTCATTTATTGTATTTTTTACGATTTATACCATTTTTCACCGTACGGCATTTTAAATTGTGAGATTATTTTTTGAAGTCACCGAGATACCTGTGGTTCGTTGTGGAGAGATCGTGAAAGCAGAAATGTTTTTTTCTGTATTCTCAGACTTTAGTATCTTTAACAGATTAAGTCTGGAGTTTGGCCGATAAATGTCTTAATGTTCTGTAGGGTTTTTAATTGAGTAACTGTCTGAGTAAGTTTTTGATGTGTTCTATGAGAGATTCTCTTCTAGCTTATCTCGTTCACAACACAACTTTAACTAAAGCCAGTATGAAAAAAGTAAAAATAAATATTCCTTTAAATATTTAACTATTTTATTTTTAGTATTCTCCATATAAAAAGTAAGAAGGCCAAATGTTCAAAGGAGGAAATGGCACAGAACTGAAAAATCACAAATAACAAGTAATGGTTTCCTCCGAACACAACAGCAATTCGTGATTAAGGAAGTGTTTAAAAAGGCAATTTTTAAATTGAAATTGTACAAGGAATATGGCAACCATAGGTTAGATGCCCTTTACCTTGACATTTAGCCGATGAGAGGCCCGAGGGAGCTGGAAAGAAGGAAGGCGTGCCCCTGCTTCTTGCTCTGGCCCAGAAACCTCGCGTTACCAGTTCTAATCTAAAGCTGTGAAACTTTCTCGGATCAATTTTACCTCGATTAACCTCCGACGAACCTCGACTTGGCATTAGAAACAAAGAACTTTTAGTCAATGGATTCAATTACCGTTGATAACTTCAGACCCTAAACACCTTAATCGGCGTTTAACCTACCTGGCACATACTAATATGTGGGATTTATAGTTCAGTTAATATCTAATAAATATAGCATAAAGACTAGTTAAAACATACTTTAATTAAATGAGAATCAATAATGACAGTATTGATTGTAAATATGAGTATGTATCGGACCTTACTGAGGTCAGACAAACATCATGGTGATGGATTGACCATGAATCCGTACATTTTCTAATTTGGACATGCACAGTCCCTCTTTATTCTATGTTGCGCCACAACCTTCAAAGTGTGTTCAAAATATTTTCTTAGTCTGCAAAGTAATGATCCTGAAGTTTTATAAGTTTTGGATCCTTCTGGTCCGCCCATCTTTGCTGTTTTAGTCTGTCACACACGTTTCGGCATTTCTCCATTATGGTTGAGTTACTTTTGTCAGTTTTCTTGCTAGTTATTTTTCTATAGTGTGGTCGTTATCAGAAGAAGGAAATACTACTGACAAAGCTACGAATACTGACACATGGACACCTAATCGTCAATGGGAGTCCCAAACATCTTTCAAAACGGTAGTCGCACTATCGATCCTGCACATTCTCACTGAACACTAAAAATCATATGAAATAAGTCTTAAAAACTAGGATAATATAAAAAAAAGAGGGAATTCTGGTCAATTTGGTCTGTTGATATGACCTGATGCATACCTCATAGACCTAGTTCGGGGTTATAAGCAGGCTCAAAACGTGTACACGATAAGCCAAAACGGCCAAGCTGCAGTTAACATGTTCAACACAATCAAATCATCGTCAGTGTGAACAAGGCAACATGCATTGTCTACAATTACAAACCGTAATCGGAAACGACCAACTACAAACATCAAACATTAACTATTTCGTTTACATAAAACGGCGAAATAAGGGCATAACTTAAAAGTTGTTCAAAGTCGTTAAAATTATCAAAGTATGTCACTGTATTGATTAGATGGTTTGTAGATTGATAGAAAAAAATCATCAGGTGATTGATAATCTATATACGACTATTCATGCTAAAAAGTTTCCTATTACAGTAACTAGACCATATAATTAGAAAATACAAAAAAAAAACTAGTTTTATATTGTTAAAGGGCACTGAGAAACTTAGAACCTCTATTTCTTGCTATCGAGTTTAATAAACTAGATGATCAATTTAGCCAAGCAGGAGCAGAATTTTCCTCCAATTTAATTAAATTTACAACAGTAAACTCCCAAGATTAACCTGAGTTTTTGTAATGCAAAAAAGACGAGTACTGAACGTAGACTTTGTAAAGACAAATTAACTACAGTGAAGGTAAAATAAAACAGGGATGTATGCCGTATTCGCCACCATTCCATTGACGTTGATCACTTTGAGATGGATTTTGTTGATCTGTTTGTTTCCAAGTTAGCAGTTATGCTAAAGGTTATCAGGGTCCCAAATGGTCTCCAAGTGACTGTCGTTTGTCTCATTGTGCAAAGTAAGCCGCAGAACACATATCAATTCGTTTTTAAATATCACAACTAATGTCTCTAATGGGTATGCGATGAAATCAAAATCAATTTCTCCTCGGACGAATGTGACCGGCCTTCGCAGGGTGGTAGGGTTTGCGCAACCGACAAACGACAGGACACCAGATAGGGCTTGGCCCTTGAGACACCGGACACTCCCTTGTTCTGCAGATGGCGTGTGGGTGGCACCTTTAAAAAAACACTGACCTTTCGCAATACTAATGCGGATTTTTTTCACTCCTTAGACCGGTTCGCATCGCGACTGTCGGATCGGGGCCAACGATATCGTGCCAAATCGAACGGCCATTGATTAATTACAAATTACGATCTGCTGCGGCAATGCCCGATGGTTATCTCATATTGAAAAAATGAATTTTTACCTGTCACTTGTCCCATTTTGCATAGAAGTCGTTTAACTATATTTGTGCAAATATCCAAGTATTTGTAACATAAACTAAATAATAACAAGATAAACTATCAGTTAGTTACATAGTTGTGCACTATTTCAATGTCTATTCTACATAAAGAGTGGCTATTTTCATTTATTTAATATCATTTATTTATAATAACGGATTACACAGTCTTGCGATATAAGTTCCGGAAGATTTACAACAAGCTAAAAATTAAACATATGAACATTGGTTGAAGATTGCTCACACCTCAAGCCCCCTTCCATGATATTAAAAGAGCTTACAAAAATGCTACATTGGAAAAAATGGCAGCAACAGTGGAATAATATGTCATGAGTAAAGCCAAAGCCAGTCAAAGAATGAGCAACTTCATACAGGAACAGATGAAAAGAGGAAACATTACTGACAAGGCTGCGAATAAGATAAACCAGAATGACATACAGACACCTAATTTATAAAGATGCCTAAGCATCTTCCAAAGCTGCAGTATCGGTCCTATAGAAATGAAAGCTAACAGAATTTATAAAGAAACTAAAAAGAGAAAATCCCACAACAAGAAGTAGACAAATCTTCAAGGCTGATAAGTAACCAATAGTGATGGGTGATTTATTAACAATGTTTATTTTCTTTCAACTAGATATTCACATTTTATTAAGAAATTTCTGTCTGGGTCTTCAAAGTGATGAACCTGTAGTTAGATCGTTTTAACATAATAAAATCAGAGTTAGATATATCTAACCTTGCTGATTTGGTTCGATGCCTGTCAGATCTAGGTAAAGGTAATAAGCAGGGCGAGGCACTGACGCAAACCACACCCACTTTTGAAGATAGCTATAAGACCAAAGATTGAGTTACGGTTTTCATTTCTAAAGAAACAATTATGTTTGGTCAGAAGTGTTTCGGCATTTCGCCATCTACAGTGTGATGGTCAGTGGGAGATGATAAAGCTATGGTCAGACAAAAATTATCAACCTTATACGTAGAAGAAGAGAGGAAGCGATACTGACAAGGCTACGAATAGGATCCGCCAAACTGACGCGGGACACCTAATCGTCAAAGAACCCCCAAGCATATTTTAAAGCTGTAGTCGCGTTTTTGGTCCTGCACTTTCTCACTGAATGCCAAAAGTATGAGAAAAATGTATGAAAATAGAACTTACAAATGAGAAAACATAACGAAGCTAATAAAATGTGTAAGGTAAACTAATCTAAAAAACGAAATATCACATACCCACAAAGATAACCAAGAGCTTTATTTTAGCCTATAAAATAAAATAAAAACCTTAAATATACTCTTTTTAATTATCAGTTTACTAGCAATGTTTGTTTTCCTTTCTAGTAGACATTCACATTTTCTTGTATAATTCTTCTCGGTGTCTTCAGAGAGATGAACTTGTAAATGGATCGTTTCGGTGTCTACCCTCGCACTCATGGTTCGACGCACTCCTGAAGGACTTGTGTCAGTGTTATAATCAAGGCGAGGCACCGGCTCAAACTTGCCATCTCTGAAGATTTCTATAAGCCATGTTGTTAACGACCAAATTGCAGGTTCGACACCCTGCATGCAACAGGAAGAAATCTAAAAACCAATACTAATAGCTTGGTCATTCTGATCACTTGATATGGAAATCTTGCTGTTTACGCCAAAGTAATTAGCGTAAATATTTTGTTTCTGTTTAAACGCTGCCCATTCCCTTGTGCCCTAATCCCTAAAACGGGCCGATAGGGCACTGCGTCTGCAACTGGCTCCCGTCGTCACTTGCTCTCATGCGACCGAGAGAAACGAACGTCTTGCTTCCGTGCTTCCGTTTTATTGCTTCCGTGCAAACATTTTATTTAGTTTTAGCATTCCTTACTTCAAGGCTAGAAAGTTATTTTCAGTTTAGTTTTCTTTTAATTTCAAAACAAGGGAGTGATATCCGCCAGCCGCCGATAGAAAAGGTTCGGACGGAACCTAGCAAGTATTGTAGTAATCTAAGCCATCATATTATCCAGGGCCTTGGTTATGTTGACGATTTAGGTGCTGCATTGCTGGGTACCGAACAGAAGATTGGCGAGGACTACACACCCGTCACCTCAGGTATTGGGGTTTTGTTTTAATTGTATTATTTGGTTATTGGTTTCGCGACCACACCAGCGCGCGCCTTATTTAACGGCGCCTACATAATTAATGACCCACGCTCCCAATTGGGAACCAGATTTAAGCTCTGGTCCTCCGGGCCGGATCTGAACCAGCGACCTATGGATACAGACCGGTACGGTCTTCAGAAGCGTCTGTGTGTCATTTTGTCATACCTGTCCTATCGTAAGTTTTTGAAAATGTGAAGGGGACTTTCTTTGGCGTTTTAAAATTATTTTAATTAAATGACGCTCAAAGATTCCAGCCCAGTACCATACAGGTAACATTGTCTATCCAAGATTGCAAAAGTTATGTGTGCATTTTTGAAATTTATTTTTATGTATTATGTATATTCTATGAAAAATCATTGTCAACTTGACATGGTTTGTGCATTTCCCCTTAGTTCTGGTACATGTCTGCTGGTTTTTTTACAATTCTAATTTCCTTTGTTTCTACGTTGCCATCAATGTCGCAGAAGAATATGGCTTGCTATCTTCAGTTATTAGGATTTCAAGCAGGGCGAGGCACCGGCGCAAGCCCACCGCTGAAAAAGTTGAAACGCGGTGTATTCTGACAGTCTAAAACAATGTGGAACTGTGGACATTCTTACCAAAAAGGATAAGGAACGACAAAACTATAATTCCGTTTGCCCATATCCACAAATTGGTCAACTGGAAAAACCCGCCAAACCACAAACGTGCGATGTGATTATGTGAAGGTTGAAAGGTTTTGTTTGTCAACAACCTGTTGCCACAAATTTTCACTAAATCAGTTCCTCATCAATATTGGACGATTACCACAAAATGAAACAGTGGGAAGGATGGCCAGGGCGATTCTTTGTTGCGTGAAACCAGAAGACAACGAAGAGGTATTGTTGTGGATCTCTGTATTTTTCATATACTGATCATGTTTTTTTACTTTGTTTTTAGAAAAGGATATTAGATTTGAATCCAGGAGATAAAGTGAGATTAGGAAGGGCGCATAAAAACGAATTACCTAGGGTTGAAAACGGTCTTTTTATTTTAAGGAGGCCGTTTATCTCTTATAATCATGCATTTATCTTTCATATCGATAATGAGGTAAATGAATGATCTACGGTTACTTGGTCTTCGTAAACTTTTTTAAAACCATTTTCCCTCAACTTTCAGTTTTATTTAGAAGATCTCAGTACAAATGGAACTTACATCAATGGAAAACAGATTGACAAAGGTCAACGAACACCTATCACAACAGGAGATATTGTACAACTCGGAAAAGACAAAATTGATCAACACGGTATTAAAAATAATCTTTTTTTTTAAAGAGGGATTTCTTCAATAAAGATAATTGTAATGGTGTGGCTAATTACAGGCAATGTTAAATATCATTTAACAAAGTTGTTAGCAAATTGTATGCTTGTCTTTTATTGAACAGAGTTTGGGCCAACCAAGGTTTTCCAAAGGAATTTCAAGCAGGATTCAAATGAAATTATTCAATTGTGTAAATCTATTTAACAAATTTGTTTAAAATAAAGTTTAATTAATTAAGGTTTTTGGTTGAGATAAAAAAGTCAATGGCACGAGCGGGATACAAACCCACGACCTTCGGCTTGATACGCCGCTGCTCTACCACTTGAGCTATCATGAACTCGATCCACCAACTTCCCATCTCAACCGCACCTTTTGAATTTTCCCTCCTTTTTGCCATTTTTCAACTAAAAACCTTAATTAATTGTAATATATTAGTTGGTCAAGCGGACCATGAAATTAGTGAAATTAAATAAAGTTTAATGTAAAAAAGCACAACGTCTACACTGTTTTTGTCAACTTTTCCACGGCTTTTGACCCTATAGATAGGCAGCTCAACAGCTTGGGTTCAAAGATTGCCTGTTCTATTAAAATTCTACTCTCGCATACAGTAGGATTTGTTTGGTATAGGAGGGAAGAGAGCGTTAGATATAAAATATGGAATGAAACAAGGTTGTTCTCTTTGTCCCCTGCTTTTCTCTTTATTTTTGAATATCATTGAAGATTGTCTAGATGGTGGAGGGGTGTGCATCGGGTCAAATAGGATAAAACTCTTAGTGTATGCTGATGCTTCTTACCTCCAACCCTAGTTCACTGTAGAGGATGATGAATACCATCGATCAGTGTACCACCACTTACAGGAACTTGTAAATAAATATGAACAAATCTAACATCGTTCAAGAATAGATAGTAGATTGGGGAGGAATGGGAAATGGTTTTTACAGAATCCTCAAATAGAAATAGATTATGAGTATAAATGTGTGTTATTTCAAAGTTTAAGTAGTTCAATAATTTGTCAAAGTAGTGAGGAGCAGAAAGGAACTTCACTACTTCAACAAATTTTTTGGTAAGCATATATAAAATAAAATGTCTAAAGCTAAACATGATTTGAATACTCTATGAGAGAGCTTTGTAGAAAATAATGATGTAAATTTTTATTATAAACTACGATTATTTAATACTGTTAGTACAGCTATAGCTTGTTATGGTGCCCAAGTTTCTATTTTGTTCCTCTTGAAAGACTTATTTTGATTTTTCATTAAAAAATTATTTATGCTACTCCCTAAGCCATCAGCATTCATTTACAATGAAACAAATTACTTGCCAATTAAAATTACATTTCAGAAGACACATTTCCCAGAATAGGTGCTACCAATATTGTTTTGCAACGACTATTTTCGGCAGTAGAAATTAATAATGTAGTTCATAAATATCAACTAAATTAAGAAATTAACTTGAACAAAGCTAACATCTGGAATTATATTCTTAATCAGATTATTGCCCATGTACAAGTAGAATTCAGAAGATTTTAAGAGATATGTTAATGAATGCTGTACTTATAAGAATTTGAAGTATGATCTGGTAGAATATCATTATCTAAAAAAGCAATTTACCTCTTAATTGCATCAGATAGGTGGCGAAGGTAAGTTCTTGCCATTTTGATATGAACCTGACAATTTACAATTGGGAGTTGGGCAATGAGGTAGTTACTAACTGAATTTACCACTTCATGGCTCTATGTACTAGACTTAGCGAAATTAGATTTAAATATTTTGAAATAGTGAATATCTCTGGCTAAGAAATGTTTCAGTACTTGAGTGATCCTAATTAGGATTAGTTCTGTAAAAACGGCTACAACTATGGAAGGCTCATAGACTCCATAGTTCGATTCCCACCGTCACCCCCGGCCTTTTTTTTTTTTCATGATACCTTTCCCCCAAGTCTACAATAAAAACTCGTACTCTGGCTAACACTGTTAGGCCATTAGGAAAAACCCCTATGGAATGAGCTTAATGTAATTTATATTGTATTATTTATTATTTTATCAGAACAATTAAATTGTCGATTATATTAGTTTTGCTTAAGTTACATTATTATATCAAATGCTCTATTTATTTATGAGTTCAATACAGCTTTATACTTTTATATTGTTTTATGTTGTGTGACGAGTAAATCCTGTTCCACCAACAATCTTCCTGATCACAGTTGTCGTATTTAATGTTATTTTCCATTTTGTGAAAAAAATTTTAATGTGTGTAAATAAAAACAACATAATAACAATAATATTTTTTAAAATGTTGACTATTTTTATTTCAGATAATCTTCCAGTGGTATTGTTTTACATTCAACTATTTCTACCTGGACCGGAAAATGAGGAATATTTGTAAGCATTTTCTTATGTAAATTAATGATATTGTTTGAACTGTAATACTGTTTATATTTTAGATTGAAATTAGAAAATGAATATCCAAGTGTAATAAACACTTATTCTAATTATCCGACGTTTCCCTTAAACCTTCAATACTTGTATGATGCTACATTAAAAAGATTTGAACGTAAGTTATGACATAAATATTTTAAATTGGATATGCAATTTAAATTAGACTGTAAAGTTTTACAGCACCTTAACAAGTTTGGCGAAGTGGAATTCAATGGGTTGAGCAGTGTTAAACACATGGTCGACGAGCTGAGTCAGCATGATCTTCACACATTTTGTGATTTGGTAAAGATCAATTATATAAAAAAATTATATACATATATATTTTTTAACAGATTATTAAATTCTAGGTTACAAGAAAATCGATGTCATGTAAGGATTATTATTTGGCTAAAATATGCGATGAAGCTTCGCATTTTATCCTTCGGATTGCTTGCTGTCGGAATTACCCCTTGCGAAAATGGTTTATCAAGCAGGAAACTAAGCTTCTTTTCATTAAATGGTTTTACCTAAATGATTTTGAAAGGAAGAGACTTCTATATTCTGAAGGCTTACATTACCCAAAAGTGATGGGAGAAAATGAGAAATTCAGTGAAGACAGTTATTTTATTTAATCAAGTAATTTTCAGGCTGATGATTTAGAGAAAAAAGTATTGGCCAAAAAGTCGGAAGGGTTTTTGGATGTTGACAAATCTTACTTTAAAGTACCATTTTCTGAAGCATCCAATTTACTCAGAACTAAAACTGCCATAATTGAAAATGGCATTATATTTGTTAAAACTGATCAAATGGTTTTAACCATAATGGTAAAGCTAGACACCACAATGGATATAACAATGAAGGTCAGCTTCTTAGTTGTGATATTGTTTTAATGATTATTAATACATTTCTTACAAAATATTTTAGCATGTTAAAAAACGCTTACACAACATTTGGGACGATAAGAGGATTGTTTCGATAATAAACTATGTGGAAAAAAATATTCACTTTGACCGTTATTCCTTTTCACAGAGGGATGCGAACATTCTTCCTGGACATATTCAAAAGGTTTCATTTGTTTATATGTATGTATATGTTTTATGAAAACATCTAATTTAGATTTTTAACAGCTTTCAGCTGAGTCGTTTCCTTTGTGTATGAAATTGCTTCAGGATCAATTGGCGAAGGACCACCACCTTCGAAATGGTGGACGGTTTCAGTACAGCCTCTTTTTAAAAGCTATTGGCCTTTCTTTGCCCAACGCAATGGATTTTTGGAGGTATCATTTCACAAAGAAAATCCCTGTTAGCAAGGTAATTTTTATACATATATATTACATAGTTTTTAATTTCTGCCCCCCCCCCTTATATATATTTTTTTTTACTGGAGTGTTTTTGGGACAAACCCCTAGACATAAACATTTATTTTTTGTTTAGTTTTTCATGAACGAAAAAGTTTTGTTCTTACTCTTCAGAATAACGGGTACAAATAGGAGAACTATTTCAAATGGCAAGATTTTAATTTATTAAAGGTTTTTTTAACGTTGAATTCAATGGTGCAAACAGTTTTTAATATGGAACAATCATTCTCAAGTTATTTGCAGGAAACTATTTCTAAACTTGTTTTTCAGATAAGCAAATCTTCTCCAACTTCTTCAAACAATCATCAATTTATTTATTCATCATTTTAATCGATAGTAAATTGAGAACTGTTCTTTGTTTCAAATAGAAATGGCAATGATTCATGACAAAAATGCTTAAACATATCCTTTGTATACGACTGACTACCAAAAATGTACAAAATTGTATCATGTTGTAACTACATATTCTTAGAAATGATGCTTACCAATAAATAGGCCATAATGTTTTCAAAGTAAAAAGTTTGATTATTATTTATAAAATAAAACATTTTATCCCTGTTATTATTTTGTGTTTTAGTTTATGAAAGAGTATTCTTACCACATTAAACACGTATATGGAGTAGTTGGTAAAATGGCAGACTATCCTCCTCAAAACTGCGCGGAGATCATGAAAGCCGTTCCAGGTCCACTCGACTACCACGGTTGTCCTTTTAACATATTTGATAAAAACAGGATGAGAAACATTTTGAAACGAATTGACATAAAGAAAACAGGTTTAGAATCTAGAAATCGTTGATTTAACAAATTTACATTGTATGCTTATTTGTTTAGATATAAATAATATACTGGAAGTTATGGAAAAAGGAATGCCGCAAATGACATGTTCCAAATATTTTGATACCATGCATGGTACGATGTCTGTTAAGGCTATAAGGCACCCGAATCTTTATTACGAAGCTAGTCGAAAAATAAGAATTGAATACGAAAAGTCTAGTAGAAGTAATAATTTAAAATATGGACAATAATTATTTAGATATGTGTAGTTTTTTTAAAAAGATTTTGATTTCAGATCAATTTGGGCTGAGCAATCTTTCAACATTAGAAAAATGTGGATGTGCGTCAAAATCTGACGCATGGTAATCACATTAAAACACTTTTTTTAACCCTAAATCAAAAAGGAAAAAGTGTATAAAGTATTTTATAGTCATTTGTGTAAACCTCAGACTTAATTTCATCTTAATTGTTTTAAAGGACCTATAAGCTTTTCTATGAAGTGTTTATTTGCAAAATTATCAATTTTAATTTGTGTTTTTATATAATTATTCTACAAAGTTGTTAAAATATACAATTAAAACAAATGAATTAACTGTGATCATAATGTTTATTTAATGTATTTAAATAAAATCAATAAAATAATATATATTAATAATAATGTAGTAATATTGAAATGACAAGAAATTACTTCAAACAAAATAAATAAAAAAATTCAGGCTTTCCCAGGATAAATTTAGGTAGGTATATTTGGTTTAAATTTCTTCAAATAATTTACAAATTGACACCCAGTACTTGATGATGATTTGTTGTGCCATAAAACTTATACAACTTATACATATCATATTATATGCCATATAACCATCCCTAACCATAAAAGGATAAATCCTTCGTCAAAATCTGTGAAATATGCCTATGGTTAGACCATGTGTGTTTATACTCGTGGCAAATAGTAAAAAACAAAAAAAAATTATGTTTCCACTACTAAATAGAGTTGTTTGAATCGAGCGAAGAAATGGTTATATGCCCTGGTCTCACCTATTCGAGTACACCATGGCATTTGATGAGTACAACCAAAAAGTGGCAAATAGTGCAAAATAAGTTCTTGCATCATGTGCTCCTCACAAAATACAAAAATTGTTGACCTACACAGGAATAATAATATTTTGGAAATTAGGAATTTCGTGCCTTTAGCTACAATCAGTTTCAAAAGTATATGTGAAAGTAGCTCAATTGATTTGGTAGCTCGCATAAGAACACTTCCTATCAGAACAGAATATTTACAAAAAATTTTGAATGATGTGTATACCTTGAGTGCATACAATGCCTTACTGACATTATTTAAAACAGGGATGTAGTTCAATATATGAGTAATGTGTGGTGATTAGTGACCGTTAGCCGATGATTATTCAGAAATCGTGAGATGGGGTCTTGTGTAATGAGGTTTCAGAAAAACTCTTTCTTTATAGTGCCAACGTTTTGATATTTATTGAGATAATCTTCAGGGCTCAAAGTGTTTGTTTTCTGCGTAAGTGTGCCATTCTTCCATGTCGTGTTGAGAGTCAGTGGCACTGGTCTCTGGTCATATATGAGTAATGGAGTAGGTCCAAGACAGATCCTTGGGTACTCCTGTGGATGACGTGGTTGCATTATGGCTCCTTCAAATGCACCTTAAAATGGCGGGGAATTGAGATAGGACACAATAATTTTTATCCAATAACTTGGACAATTATTTTTTAAATTTGTTAATGTCAGACAAAATTTCCATTTATTATTATTATAACGTAAAAACATTATCTATTAAGATTCGCTTTGGATGTTTCTGGAATTTATACCCATCATCAGCAATCTATATTATTTATAAAAATACATAAGCATAACTTTAATATTCATATTTTACATCATATCAATTTATCAAAAGCTTATCTTTTAAAGTGTTAGAATAATAATTTACTATATACATATTGGATTTTAAAAGATATGACAATTTTGCATCTGTAATTTAAGTTTATTTTTACACATTTTTATATTATTTTTAAGTATTATCAAAAAGAAGAAAGAACAATTTACTAGCTGGCAGGCTACACAGCCAAGGTGTAAGAAAGTAACATTTTTTTTTTTATTAAATTTTTTACGAGGTTTGCAACACCAGAGGTCATATCAACCCTTGGGGTATCCAACATCCATACAAGATTGTATGCACATACACACAAAAGGGCATGAACGCATCCTTCTGGTGATGGGGGGGAACACATATTGTTTTTTAAAATAAGCAGTTTAGTTAAAAAGATTTAGATATCTAATTTTTGGAACATTTTTACTCATTTTTGATTTTTTATCGCGCCAACGTTTCGATCTTTATTGAGTGAGATCATCTTCAGGGCCTGGGATTTACAAACATTTTTTAAATTATACAAATACATGTAAGATGTGAAAATGAATTTATACAATGATATACACAATATAGAAAGATGAAGATGATCTCAGTAAAGATTGAAATGTTGGCACAATATTTTCTAAACCTACATAACACCAGACTGCATCTCACGGTCACTAAATGTTACACTTTAAAAAAATATTTTTTTATTTGCTGTAAATTATGTCTGATTCACTATTTTATGATGTTATATGAACCCTTGGAGTGCCGATGTTTTTGAAAAAACGACGCTCCTTTTTTTATGATTATAGAAAATAAGATAATAGAAAAAAACGTGAAAAAACGTTGACGTACAAAACGTCACAAACCTCAGGAAACGAAATTCTCAAAGGAAAATTTATTTCTGACTTTTGATGACTTTGGATGCCAGATCTCGTCTGCAGCCGTGGCGGACGCGGTTCTTCGAGAATCGACAGAAAACGGCCAATCGAATCAACAATCGTTTTTCAAATAAAAGTGGAAAAGTCGATAACGGAGGGTGACTTGATAACGGGAATCCATTGGGGAAAAAAGGAAAACGAAGTTCAAATTAATCCCGTTTGTTTCCTGGAGGAAAAAAGTCTCAGTTAGAGTCCGGAATCTTGGAAAACGGAGGAGATTATCTATCGCCTAGGTCAAAATACGCCCCAAGAACTGTTACAGCCGGTAAAAATGAGGAAAAACTTTAAGTGAGCAGCTGTCGAATTCGCCCAGTCGGTGAATATCGTTTTAAAAACGATAAATAGCTCGAAAAAACAGGTTTTGTCTAATTTTCCCAGAGTTTTTGTACAAGGGGGTTTTTCTTGGAACAACACGGTCCTAGGAGGTCCGTCTGCGAGGGTGACTTGATATCGCCTAGGTGAAGGGAGGGGGACGGAAGGTTCGCCGAGGCCTTTTCTCGCCTCACAGAAGAGCCAACATGGCGGAGATGGAGTCTATAGAGGATTGCGGTTTTCGAGAGGAGTTCGTCTTCGTCGAGGAGTACTTCCCGCTGGACCTCCATGAGGAGGAAGTGGTCGCAGAGACGGTCGAGACCGAGGAGGTCGTCGCCGAAGAACAAGAGGAAAACGACGAGGTCATACACGGTGAGTCGGCCTTAAATTAAACGGCTCCCGACAACCGACGCCCGTTTCCATAAATCTCATATTAATCCGAAGAAAATGTTTTTTCTCTCAAACTTCGTTTTATCAATAAAACAAGCATGCAACTCTCCTATATTTATAACCAATATCAAAGAAGCCTCCAGACAAGGCTAACCTTTGGTTCGCCATTACTCCTCTCTCATCGGCCGCCTCACAATCTCAAAGATCAAATTATTCGAAAAAAACACAAAATTTAAATTATGAGGGACATTTTGAATTTCCCACCGGCTGAGCCGCGAGAGAGGAACTAATCTGTTTTAAACAGTCTGTTGTTTAAAAATCGTCTTTTCGCATCGACTGTTGGGTTTTCCTTTTCCAGACCTGACGCCTTTTAACCTCCACGGAATTTCAAAAGTAACCTCTATTTTGTTTACTCCGCTTTTAATTTCTTCCCTTTGCCGGGCCCGGCTTTCAATTTTTCGAAACTTTTCCCAATTTCGTTTGATTCGTGTAGGACGGATATTTTGCGAGATCGCCGTCGGCCTCCCCGCACCCCCGCCTCCTCTATTTCTGTCCTCCATGTTTTTTCCCCATTCTATTAACCAATGTTGTTTTTTTATTTTTTGAACAATTGTCTTCTTTTCTATATATTTTTATAAAATTGAAACGACCAAACACAATTTAAGCTTACGTGTTTAAACACGTGTGTATACGTGCGTAAAGACTCGCTCGCACGCATCCATATACTTATTTTTAATTTAATATAACCTTCATTTCGAATTTTTTTTTCTTTCAAAAACGAACCATTTTTGCATCAATATGTATGCCTTTTAACACATATTTATCTATCTACACGAATCCACAAACATATGATCCATTATAATATGTATATGTACAATATAACCTTAATTTCGTGTTTTTTGTTCTCTCAAAATTGACCATTTTCCATTGATACGAATGCCTTTAAAGACCTGTATGTGTACATATATACGCATACAAACATATGACCCATACATATTACGTACGATAAAGAGAAGAAAAATTCAACATAACATAATTTTTCTTCTTTGGTTGTTCACTTTGTTTTTTTGTCTCTTTTTTTATGTGTTTTGTTTGATTTTTACGTGTTTTTTGGCTTTTTTCTTAAGTTAAAGTTGTGTTTTACAACTTCTGTGTTCTTTTTGTTTGTGTCTGTGTTTAGTGTAAGCATTTTGTCAAAAATTTTCTACTTTTGTAGTTTGCTATTAGATTATTATCTTATAGATTTTGTTACATTTTTCTTTTTTTGTGTACTTTTTTTTATTAAGTTAGATAAATAAATTCCCCTACTTTTTTCCCCATTTAGCATAAAATTTCACCATTTTGGTTCGATGTAATTAAAGAAAATGTTATACCACTAGAAAGTTTTTTTTTAAATGCATAAGTTATGCAATTTGTCGAGCTCTTACCATGAATTTTTCCAACCAGGTTGCAAATTTATTTATTTTAATTTTATTTATTTATTTTTTTTACATATAGTAGTTTTTGAAAGATTTAATGGTTTTTTTACCAAAAAATAAATGGAAAGTTCTGGAAGGGTGCCTTCTTAAACGAAAGTTTACTCTTTTCGATATTTATTTGGATTTCCTCAAAAGTGAATAGTTCAAGAGTTAGGCGTAGGTTTATGACAAAAACTTTAGATAATTGAAAAAAAAGGTTGCATATGTGCAAAAGGGCTGAGAATTGGACCATGGTTCATTTGAACTTTTTTATTACATTAGGTGCACAATTTTTTTTTTCTTCCAAAAATGAACAATGCAGGTTTTGAAAAGCAGTCAAAACTATTTTTAATTTTTATAAAATAAAGAAAATTTATTTGAAATATTTTCCATCACTATATATTTTTGTCTACAAGTCCTAAGCGCTTCTATTCCACTGACATAAAAAAAACTTATTTAGACTAACAATGAAGTCTTTGAAGGCGTTTGCGGCTTCACCGTGTTCTCCAAAAATTTCATCCTTCAAGAAGTGATCAAAATGTCTAAAAAGTGGATGTCCGTAGGCAAGAAGTCGGATGAATATGGAGGGTGTGGTAAGGTTTCATATCCTAAGTCCCTAAGTTTCCGAGGGTTGGCATTGGCCTGGTGTTATTGTGAAGAAGAATTGGCCGCTTACGGTTGGACAAAGAGTTGCAGTTTCCCATGCATTTTGTCAATTTCAAGGCATTATTTCTCTGCTGTGATAGTTTCATCGTAATTCAGGAAATTATAGTGAACAACCCTAGCAGTACACCACCGAACAGTCACCATAACTTTAACCAGATTTGGTTTGGGCTCTTCATCCTTATTCAACCACTGACTTGTATGGCTCCTGTTATCATACAGAATCCATTTCTCATTGCATGTGATTATTCATTTGAAAAATGAATCTTTTTGGTGGCGCAACACCATGAGACATGCGAATTTAAAAATGTTGATTTCTTTGGGCTTCAATTAGACCTTGCCAATTTGCTTCAGATGGTGAACAACAGTTGAATTGCCAACACAGCCCTTCCACTATTTGCATGTTGTCTTGTGTGAATTTTCTTCATTCAACATTTTGTGTTGGTTATGGTCAACAACCAACCGTGACCTTCCCTGTCTTCAAGATTAAAATCTCTGAAACCATTTTTGAACCATGCATCCGCTAATGCTTACCACCCCTCAAACTATATTGATGTTACACGCGGTATGGTTCGCACTTCGCCCAAGTTTAAATTCGTACAAATAATTTTGATGAAAACTAGCTTGGATATATTTAATTTTTCAGGTCTTCACTCTTATAAAATTCAATATAAACTAAAATTATTTGTATAAAACATAACTGTTAAAAGTATTTATTATAATCCATAAATTAGATATGAGGATTTAGCTTTGTTTACATGACAAGCACTTGCTAAAATAAAACAAATTTTCAAAACCTGCATTTACTTTGCACCAACACAGTATCTGTGGTTTTATAAAGATTAAATCCTTTTGTTTGTTTACAGCTACCAATAGTATTTTACCAGAGGGTTATGACCCGATGGATCCAAACCAGTGGGCGCAAGAAGAGGTAATTATTGAATCTTCTGAACCAATAATCAAAGAAGAAAATGAAGAGCAAGCTCATGTCTATGAGTGTTACAAATGTGCCAAAAGATTTAACTACAAAGATAAACTATTCAAGTGAGTTATAATAAGCTAAAAACAAGATGAATTAGTTTTATACGTACTTATTGTCTTATTTTAGGCATATGAAATTGCACCATGCAAGAGGAGATGATATGATGATAGAAAGAGATGGCAAAAGAATATGGACATGCACACAATGCGACAAAACTTTCATATCTAGGAAGGGCTCTATTATTCATCAACGGACTCATACTGGCGAGCGCCCTTATTCATGCAGCGTGTGCCAGAAACGTTTCATAGATAGCAGTACATTGATGAAGCATCAGGTGATTCACCAAGCAGTGCGCCCTTTTAGCTGCCTGATTTGTCGAAGAGGCTTCAATCAGAAAGTGGCACTTCAGCGCCACGAGAGGACCCATGGCCAACTTCAGCCGACTTACAAATGCAAATTCTGCCCTAAAACATTTCTGGTAGCGAGCAGTCTACAAGCGCATGAAAAAATACATTCAGGTATCAAGCCCTACACATGCCAATATTGCCCGAGCCGTTTCCACACATCTACCGCTCAGCGACAGCACGAGAGAGTACATACAAACGAGAGGCCATATGCTTGCAGTTATTGTCCTAAAGCATTCAAAGACAGTGGAACTTTGTTTAAGCATCAAGTCATCCACTCTGGGATTCGACCTTTTGTCTGTCCTATCTGCTCCCAGGGCTTCACACAAAAAGTAGCCCTCCGCAAGCACATTCGATCACATGTGTCAAGAAATCAGGACAACACGTGCGAAATCTGCGCGACACAATATTTCAACAAAGACGACCTTTGTATTCACATAGAAGCCCATATTGAGACCCACCCTTCATTATCACATGTGAGGAATGTTGCGACATCGTCTTTGAAGAAGCAGGAAATGATTCAAGTAACGCCTGTTAAAGCTGCTTCTCCTGAACCAGAAAGAACAGAGGAGAGCGACATGAGCGATCTAGCGACTTTGTGCGACGTCGCTATATCCACAGCCGGCGATTTGGCCCATAGTTACCCATGCCTTCACTGCGGTATGAGCTTCAGGCGGAAAAAGTCGCTCGACTCTCACTTATCGATTCACAGAATGACGTGCAAGTACTGCGAGAGACCATTTCCGGATAAAGCTTCTCTTGAAACTCACGAGCGTAAATTGTGCAACTTGGCAAATTCGGTCCAGCAGCAGCAAGCCCCTAGGCCTTCTACACAGTCTGACCAAGCTCCTACGAAGACCACCACTGTTCAGACAGGGACAAAACAGCCCAAAAGATTTTTTTACTGCGAAAGATGTGACAAAACCTTCAGCTCTAGAAATGGGTATATTATCCACCAAAGGAGTCACACTGGCGAACGGCCTTATCCATGCCGCTGGTGCAACAAAGCTTTTGGAGATTCAGCTACAAGACATAAGCATGAACGAATTCATACTGGAGAAAGACCATTCAAATGTCCTAGGTAATAATTTATAAGATTATAGTTTTATCTTTTGTAAATTTATGGTTTTTCTTAACCCTCCAAATTATTTATTATAAACATTCATTTAATTTATACAAATTGCTCCTATCTGAACGCAGCAACCCTTTGGATTTGTAGTACTGCATAATTGCAAATCTCTATAAAAAAAATTTAAGATGTACATTTAAAAATTAAGCATCCATTTTATTTTTTGTTACATATTTTGTCTTTACTTGATGGGTTTGTTGAATCACTCAGATGTTTTTCGGCATCTTCAGTGAGGAACTGGAGGTTTCACGAGTACCCGCAAGTAAAGACGGCCCCAGTAATTAACCCAGTGTAGGCTCAACATTAGTTCACCTACTTGCAGTCCAACATCAAATCTATTTTATTTCCTAACTATTTTTGTTCGTTTTCCAGGTGTCCTCGTGCATTCAACCAAAGAGCTGCACTCCGTGCCCACCAGATAACCCACACCGTCGATAGGGCCTTCTTATGCAAGTATTGCCCATCCTCATTCCCATATTTTGCGACGTTAAAACGACACCAGCAATCGTGTCACAGTCAAATCCCTTGTCCAATCTGCTTCACGTTCGTGCCTGATGGGAAAAAACTGCATAACCACATAAAAGAGGAGCATGCTGTCGAAAACAACCTCTCTTGTACGATTTGCGATTCTGGTATTTTCACTGATGCGGACGAATACTGTGATCACATGGTTTGGCACGGGAAGCAACAACAGCCTAACAAAGACACAACTAGTCAGCATGAAGAGGTACCTATTAACGATGACGAAAGAAACGATGATCAAGACAAAAGCGATGAAATCCAGTTCGAGCAGTTGCATGAAGGAGTTGTTAAAGAAGAAATTGTAGAAGAGGAAACAGAAGAAGTTGTTTTAGAAGAGGAAGAGTTTCACCCTGAGGAATACCAAGAAGAGGAAGAGGAAGAAATGGTTCAAAGGGAAGAAATAATCGAACAGACAATTGTTACCGATGACTTCCCAATCGTCGAAGAGGCTTATCCTTGTGACATGTGTGGAATTCTTTTCCAAGACAAGGAGCTCCTTAAAGAGCACATACCTCTTCATTTCTAGCTTGTTAAGCGTTAATACTATTCTTAATTTGTAAATATAAGAAAAAAAACATGATTCACAATTAAATGTTTTATTTTTAAATATTACCAACTGGCTTTTAAACATTATTTGTCTTGTATTTAATTAAGCTGTGTATATGTAATTACATATGCAATAATTTCCACATGTTATATATATGCTTTTTCTTTTGTATGTTGTGTACATAGTGTTAGACTTATCAGCAATAGATGTGAACGAATTTTAACCTCACTTAGTTTATGTGTAGTGCCTTACGAACCCCATTGTCGTACATACAAAAGCTAACAAATTCAGATTGCTTTGTATATTTTTTTAATCTTACATTTTACCCAATGAATCTGGTATTCTATCACAGAAAAACACTATTTAACCTGTACATCTCTGCAAGGCATTTTTACCCACCTCCTTACTCAATATAAAAAATAAATTAGTTATTTAATACTGTATATATTCCACCGTTAATCATGAATACACAACATATATGAATATAAACCAAGGGATCTCCCGAAAATTTAATAGGGTTAGTACCTGTTAATGTTTAAGATTTGTACATATTTGAAAAGAGATGAAACGATTTTGTTTTGCTTCGATTAGACAATGCTTTAATTTCTAACACACATAATTTTAAGTAAGTTATTGAAGTTCCAGTGTTTCTTTTAAAATCTGAAGAAATATTGTCAAATTATTATTTTACTTTTGTTACATTTAAGTGATATGTCTCAAAAAAAGATTTATATATGCAAATTTTGGTATGTCCATTTTCTTTTTGAACTGCAACCTTATGAAATCCTTGAAAATAATTCAAAACACGAAAGATTTATACCAAGGCTGAAAACAATAGCATGTGTAGAAGTAATAAATAAATTTAATCAGGGGCTACAACTTATATTTTATTCACTTGTTAAAAATCAAAATGATGCTCAACTCTGCATTTATATGTATCTGAACCCACTCCAAATGTTCTCTGAATTTTTTAAGCTTGGTCAAGTTCAATAAAAGTCCAGGACTGACTACAAGGTTATATGAACCCTCAGGGTACCAGAGTTTTGGAAAAAAAGTAGTACAAAAAAAAACATTGTAAGTTCGGGTTCGAATGTATCACCTTTACAGTGATGAGTGTCTTGTAGATGCTTAAAACATTGCGGCCACCAACTCCCCAGGACTCGATTTAATAGCTTTAATTAGAAAAAGTAATGCTGAATGTTGCATACACAAACTTGATGGTCGACAAAACAGGAAAAGGCAATTAATTTATCTAAGAATAGGGCACTGCAGGCTCACCCATTGATATATTAACGGCTAGAAAATCACCTCTATGATTAGTCACAGTAAAAATAAATGTTAACTGACTGCGGTCTATGCTTGGCCATTTTGGTTGTCCATAACCTAATTTATAATGTAAAATACCTCTGGTACTTAAAACTAACAGAAAAGCAAATTATACGATCCACTTTATTCCATAGATGTAGACAACCTACAGAATAAAATAACAACAATATGATCAATGTATGATTAGGTTTTTTTTATGAATTTTAGCAAATTATGTGGTTTTCATGGCATAAAAAATATTACTTCCAGTAGAAGAAAATTGAAATGACATTGTGACAATTTTGTCCTTTTTGAAGAAAATCCTAGAATTTCGAATGGTTGTGTAGTGGTGGGAGAGTTTAAAAAGTATAACGGGGAGGACATAGTTTGCGCACCCAGAAAGGCAGTTGACTTGACGCGCATGTTCCGTATTCCGCAGTCAGCATGTTATTTATGATCTGACTGGTCAATTGTAGGGGATTCTTAAGGTCGATTCCTCAAATATAGACAATATGTGTCAAAATTTAGCCAAATGGGTATGGGGCGAATTGGGCCTCTTGAGGTGTGGGACTCAGCGAGGCATGCAACTTTACACACTCGGTTCACTGCAGGGTTCCCGGATTTGGAGAGGAGTAGACATTGGCAGTGACACGCACCCATCTTTGATGATCTGCACAATGAAAATTAAATACAGATGTGTTACTCCGAGGGGATGAATGTGTGAATTGGTTACAGGCTGGACGGAGTCACACAAATGACTGTGAGATCCGAAGATTCTTTGGATTTGAGATAAGCCAACTGTTGGAAAGAATTCTTTTGTGGAGAAACCTTTTCTCCTTACTGCAACAAATTAGATGAAGAGGGTTCTAAAAAGAACCTGGAGAGAAATAAAGGTGCCTATAATTTAAAAAAATTAAATATTTTAACAAGGGTTAACAAAAAAATTGTATGTTGGGTTCGAATCTAGCAGTCCCACATTCGAACCTGGGACCTTTACCTTATAGTGATGAGCAACATGTTAACGCTAAACAATGCCTAAACCGTTGCAGCCACAAATGCCCCTAAGAAAAAAAGGTTTAAAACAGTATAAAACAAAATTTTTGTGATGGAAATCTCATATAGTGACCACTCCTCGGGGGCCGCGGTAGCCAAGTGGTTAAGGTGCCAGACTCTCGGCTAGTAGATCCCGCGGTCATGGGTTCAATCCCCACCGTCGCCTCTGGACTTTTTCTGACGCCTAAGGGGACCGGTGGCCGCAATTGAAAGAAATTGACACGGCACTCATCAATGGAAGCGGCGGGATCGGATCTCAGCGACCCTGAATTTGGTCCCAACCCCCTTCCAAAATGAGTTTCTTCGATGGAAGAACACCGGTACAATGGGGGCTCAAGTTTACATTTGTGTTGCGAGCCCTCCCCAAAAATATGGAGCCAGGGATAAAGTACAATAAGCTGTACAGCTCAGCTGCAGTGCTCAGGAGGGAACTCCTCAAGTCCCTGGTATCCAATAAAAAAAAAAAAATAATAATAATAAAAAAAATTAAAAAAGACCACTCCTCGGTTAACCCAGTAAGCCAGTATTGATTGATTTACAAATTATAATTGTTAACATCTATAGATTTTTTAAAATTTATTAATTTTTTAAAGGATTTTGACATTTTTTAGGGCTTAACCAGCATTTAGGGATTACAAAAAAAAAACCACTACATAAATTATGCTAATTTCACAATATTAAGGTTTTACGATGAAAGTGGCGGGATTTTTACAGATTTATTACTGATACTTTCTTCTACAGTACTCTCAGCCCTGAAGTACAGAAAAGTAATCCAGAACTATTTAGCCTAGGAAAAATGTTTAACTGCACTATTTTTTTCTCTTGCAGGCTAACATATGTTTTAATTTTTTTTCATTTCAGAATTCAAATTACATGGTAAATTTTCAAATTTTTCTAGGTTGAAAAATTGTTGTTTATTTTTCCTTTTTTAAAGTGGAAACTATTTAAAAAAAAAGTTACACTGGAAGCCTTAGGGTGAGCAATTCGTTGGAGGAGATTGATGGGGGGAGAAGGTGGAGTTTTCAGGGCACATTTCGATTAGGAGAACCTGAGCCGAAGGGCTTTTAGATTTTTTTTGCATTCAAGTGCCTTCAAGAAGGACACATTCAGTTCTGATATGATACATAATGTTCTTGCGAAAGGTATCACATTTCTTCCTCGGGTTTTTGCCATAAAAATATGCCAGAGTGACCACCGGAAGAGACTGTTCTAAGATTGACCTATTGTAAACGCACTTGTGCTCTCGTGAGGTAAGATTTCAATCAAATTTGACTTACTTAAAATACTTTTTTCAGATTTTTTAAGCATTTTTAATTGTTTTTAATTATTTAAAAAATTGCCTATATAATACAAGAAATACTAATACTACAATTGAATAGATAATGTTTAAATTTAATATAAAATAAAAATAAAAATTTAAGATTTTAACTAAAATTGAAATACAAAAACAATTGAATTTGTTTTGTTTTTTTAATAAGAAAATTATCTTATGGAAAAATTAATTGAAACATATTTTTCAAAAAATATGTTTAAAATATGGCAAAGTGTTAAGTGAAATTTATTAAAAACATTTGTCTCTGGCATTCCAAAAATAAAAAAAATGCAAATTTAACGTGTAAATCAAAATTTGGTAAAAATTGATTATCTTTACGTAAGGCAAAATCCTGCAAGGTAACTAATTCAGTCAATTTTTAAATTTTGAACACAACATTAAGTTTAACTGTTGACTTTAGCATCTGAAACGCTGGTAGCACACTTTTCTTTGGGTAACGTAATCAAGTGATGACAAATTATAAAACTCAAAATGTCAGATATTTGCACTAATTCTTCTTTTCGGTAAACATTTTCTATATTATTTGTTTAATACATTCTCCCAATAGCGTTTCTCATTTAATGTAGTATTATTTATCTTACTGTAGTTCGAAAACAATATTCAACGCTGATAAATGCAAAACTGCATCTATCGCAGAAACCTTTCTGGAAAAAATCAAATCAATGATATTAGGGGGGGGAGAATTAAATTAACCATTGTTTTTTAATCACACACATTAATATTATTAGAAAACATTCTTAAAATAATAAAACTTTTAAATTATTATTTATATTTTGTTAAATATTTTTCACGCAGCTCTGAAATTTTTTTAAAATTGAATTATTCAAATAAAACATTAAACACTTTTTTAATAAGAACAGTGGTTGTTATAAAGATTAAAAAGTCTATAAAATTCTTGAGATCCATAAGAATAGATATTTAAAAAAAATTTTTTCAGCATATTACAACGGTTTAACTTTTTTTCCCCCTAGTGTTTTTGTTTTATTTTTATTTAATTGTTTTCTAACCCTAATTCATAAAATTTATAGAAGAACGTTGGTAAACAAAACAACGTAATATTAACAGGCAAATTTTGTAATTAAAATTAATTATTCTTTTTATCTAAGGTTTTTGGTTGAAATGAAAAATTAGCATCATGAGCGGGATTCGAACCCACAACTTTCGGCTCAATATGCTGCTCTCATCACTTGTGCTATCATGACTTGGATTGTGACATTTGAAGTCATGATAGCTCAAGTAGTTAGAGCAGCAGCGAATTGAGCCGAAGGTCATGGGTTCGAATCCAGCTCATGACACTAATTTTTCTTGACCAAATATTATAGATAAAAAGAATAATAAATTGGAATAATTAATATGGTCAATTATGACCAGTAAGCGAATATGGATTAATTTTGTAATTACTTTCAGGAGGCTTCAAGTTATAATGGACGGAGGCGATGGAGGAGATAAAGAACTGTGTTACTCTCTTTATATAAATCCAAATTTAGAGGAGATCAAAGACAGCGAGAGCAACAAAGAAGTGCCAGCTGCTTTGCTGGAAGAAGCAATCAGGGCGACAAATCCCCTGGGTCCATGGAGGGTCACAAAGACTTTCTGCGGGCTGCTTGCAGCATTCACGTTTGAGGCCGATTCTACAGCTCTCTTAAACACGCCCTTGGCTGAATCGCTCGGCTGCCCGGTCCAGGTTGCTCGCCTGTCCTCGAAAGATTCCAGGCACAAACAGGTTTTTATTCTATTTATTTTTTAAATTGACGAGATATTAAGTTTGGTTATTTGGCAGGCGTTGCTTCTTCGAGACATTCCTTGGGCTGTTCCTCTCCAAGAGATTAGAAACACATTGGAACATCAAGGGATTTACCCAGTCAACATTGAGCGCATTCGGCAAAACGTCAAAATTGAGGTAAGTTAAATCTCTTGTGTAAAATTATTTTAAAAATTGACTGGAAACTAAATAAATTATGATTTTGGTTTAGTTGACAGATCCATTACAGTATGAAAACCTTCTCCGTCATGGACTTGACTTTCTTGGTGCTACAAGGTTCTCCGCTGTGCCTGACAGGTGGAGAACGTCCCTCCTTGCTAGACAACCATTCACCACTCTTGAACAGGCCCAACAAGAATCTATCATTCAGTGCTATCGTTGTCAGGTAAAATGTTAAAATTGTTCATAAATATAATGATTATAGAACAAAATATAAAACTGACAACTCTCTTGAAATTAGAAACAATTTTATTTTTATGTTACCTAATATATACATTTTTATTTAGGGATTTTGGCACATTGCTGCCAACTGCAGGGAGATGCCGAGGTGTGTGAGATGCGGCGGAGCCCATTCAGTCGAAACATGCCCAAGGCCACGTCACGAGCCGGTTTGCTGTCACTGTTCTGGACCGCACCACGCAGCTTACAGGCACTGCCCAGTCAGACTGCAGCTCAGCAAACCTTACCTGCTCCAGCCACAGCCACCCGTTTAATGGCCTATCCTTTGTCCCTCGTCCTAAAGTTTCAAAAACAAAAGTAAAAAAAAAAAAAAAATCCAAACCTAAATATTCCGAATTTGTCAAATCTATAGTAAAAATGTAAAAGAAATTAGATTAATGCTTCTTTTTCTTTCTTTCTCCTAATGGCTTTTAATAGATAATATAGGTAGAATAGAAAAACCCTTTTTTTTGAGACATTAATTTTTTTTTAAACAATTTCAGTTTGCATATTAAATTTAAAAAAAAATATTCTGAAGATAAACCAATTATTTAAATTACATATATTTTATTATTATTAAATATGTATTTTATAATTTTTTGCCTTGCTTTTATAAGGGTGCTTCTTAATTGATTAAAACATTAACCACATGCTCAATTATTTGGATAAAATAAAATTTTAAACAATTTTAAATTTAGCAGTTTTGTCATTGCTGATAATTAGTGAGATGTTCAATTTCTGACCTGCAATGTTTTCAGCAGTGACTGAATGTTATAAACCAAAACAGAATAAAAAAATCACAAATGTACAAACTACAGAAAAATGTAAGAAAAAAAGGATATCAATAAATACATTAATTGAAGAAATGTTTATTGAGACAATTATGTTAAACGAATTATCTTGCATTAATATATGTATATATACATGATTTATTGTCAACACAACATTTTTGAATAAAGTTTCTCTATGGTAAAGTTGTATGTTACAATCATAATTTCCACTCTTAATATAATTTTGTCTAATTGTAAGTATTATTTAAAAATATCTATAAATATAATTTTTTTTATAGATTTAAATATATTAAACAGAGAGTCTACCTAACAAAATCACTTCATAGAATTTTTTATATACTGCCCATTAAAAAAAATTATTTGTATAATTTTTATGTTTGAATTTATTCTTTTAAATTCATTTTTCATCTTAAGCATAACATAATGTTTTTTATGTTAAGTAAATTTAGCAAAAAGTAAAAGTTATGAAGCTTAATAAGTTAATTTAAATTACATGCAAACCTACGTTCCGATGATCTGTAAGTGCGATTAAGACATAAATAGTATAGCAAACAAAACATTTTTAACAAGAAAGGAAGTAAAAGTACAAAAGATTATATTTTACTTTGAACATTTTATAAATTATTTTATTATAAAAAAAATTTACTAAACAGACAAATACTAAATATTCACAATGATTATTACATTTTTATTTACTGTTGTTTAAGTGTCCACATTTCAAACACAGTTTTGCGCTTTTAACAACTTGCTCTGTTTGGTTTTGGCTGAAAATATTGTTGGGACCGTCTGAAGACTGTGACCGGTTTGGGTTGGTTCCACCTGTCCCGTTGGCCAAATCTAATAAGTTAATATATTAGTCTGAAAATAAAAACTTAATAAAAAAATAATCATACCAGTCTCATCTGTATCTTCCTTGTCCTGTGATGGGTTGGCCGTCCTGGCTTCGACACAAGTAGGAAGTGTGGCTGCTGAATTCATACCGATCCAGTACTCGACCAGGTCAAGCCTGGAGTCGAGAGAAAATTGTTTCCCTTGAAATACCTTCCTCCGGGCTGAAACCAGCCAAAAATATTTTTGTCTGTCCGTTTCTAAAAACCAGAACCAAGTCTTTTATAATACTAACCAGGGCTACCACGGTGCAAGTTGCCTTGGAAGGACCATCCCTTCATCCAGTCAGAAGCCCCACTGTCGAAAACAGCGGCAAAGCTGCCATTGACGACTTTCGGTGACATCGGTGAGTTTGCCAACAATAAACTGGAGCCGAAGATTTCATTTCTTTCCTTTGTGTCTACAGTTAAAAATTGTTCAGATTGCACACAAGTTTTGTTAAATCATACTAGATTTATAACGTACCAAAATTACAATCAAATTTAAATCCATGCTTGTTTACAATCTTTAATGACCTACAGGCATGCAAGTATTATATAATGGAAATATTTTATTCTAAGTATTTATTTTTAACAACCATATTATTTAAAACTGTTTTGAGCCTTTACCTCTACTTAAAATGTTAATGTATTGAGGCATACAAAAGTTGATAAATCAAAAGGATCAAGGTAAATGCCATGCATTTCAATGATAGATTAGATTTTAACTCTCAAACATGCACATTCCACTAATGTTTAATTCTTTAAAAAAGAAAAAGATAAAAGGGTTAAAAAAGAACAAACTACACAAAAATACTACTTTTATTTTCAAATGTCTTTACAATCGTATAGATTGTGCTTTATTATTTCAAATGATGATTTGTGATTACCAGCAAGCGGCACCTTCTCTCTGGTTTTGGTTTGGTCCAATTCGATGAGAACATCGGTTGCGATGTTCTTGATTTCAGTCCAGTCTCTCACGATATCTTCAGCTGTCGTCTTCGTTGATGTCACAGTGAATCTTATAACATATTTGCCTGAAGAAGAAAATATTTTATAAATTTTATATTGGTAGTTGGCATTCGACACGTACCATTGAACGATGCGGGGATGCAGTGCAGTTTTCCTCGGGTGTTCAATTGTTTCAACAGTCTCTCGGTTAAAATGTTGTCGCCGATCAATCTAAACACAACTAATCCTAAATGCCTCTTTGCAGGTACTTCAAATCTTGGATCACCACGTACTAGAGATTCAAATTTCTTTGCTAACCTTACACCCTAAAAAGTTTGAATGAAATTAGAAAAATGTGTCTTTTAATATTGGAAAATGTACTTACCTCTCTCACGTGCTTCTGAAGGCCAGAGATACCAAAGTTTCTAATGACAAACCAAAGCTTCAATGCCCGAAACCTTTTACTCAACGGCAGTTGCCAATGCTAAAAATTGAAATTATTTATAAATGAATGCATTGGGGTGATCTTGTTCTGATTTGAAAAAGACTCCTTATAATTTTTTTAAAAACATTCTAATTAAAGAATCATCTAAGTCTTACTTAATATGGGTCTCTATTGGTTAAAATTGTTAAATAATTGATAGAAAAATGTTTATTTATACACTGGAAGAAGACAGTATAAAGTAATTTACCATGAAATCAACAGCAAGACCGGAATTTTCATGCTGGAGGTACAAAGGATCGACCATGAATGTTCTATGGAGAGCTCTGCTGTCTCTAACCCTAAAAGAAAATTAGAAGTCTAATTAATACAATTTGTTATAAATTTACGTCTAAAACAAACATATCAACAACACACATATTACACAAAATTTGTTTATTGAAGAGAAACTGAAGAACTTATAAGAGAGAAACTGAACTAACGATAATTATTGTAAAAAATGGATAATTTCAACTCAAAATCGCAATGAATTTTGTCAAAGAATAACTGCTCATATGAGATATGACCATTTGTTATATGGTAGATACTTCAGGAAATGTACAAACACTAGATATTTTACATGATTTGCCCAGGGTATTATATCGTAATTAATCATAATTAGCCTTGTGTAGGTCTTTGGCTAATGTCTATACCTTCATATTTGTCTCTGAATTTACTACTGTACTTTCTATCAGTCAGCAATGAAAGTCTAAGTTATTGAGTACTCTAGATGCCCTGAAGATAATAAATAAAACTTCTTTTATATTGTGAAGAATTTCGAAAATTTCACATAATTAATCGACAGAAAACTAACCACATAGCTGTGCAGTCAAAATGTACCATCATCCATTTTCCAGGGTTGAAAGCTAAAGAGTCAACGTATTCGATACCTTCCAACCAGTGACGGAACTCGGGACAAAGGAAGGCAGTACCAGCGTAGGCGGCGTCGACGTGCAACCACATCTTCTCTTCTTTGCCTGTCAAAATAACGTTGTTCAGACGGATCGAATAATTACAATTAGAACGTTCATACGTACAAATAGGTCCGAGATCTTTGATATTGTCGAAGGAGCAAGCACCAGTCGAACCTAAAGTCGCGCACAGCTAAAAAAGGACAGAAAACGTTGGGTTTGATTAGGCGACGCTCGATTTAAAACGTACAAGAAATAGGAGTTCCCAATTTTCATTTTCGAGACATAATCAAAAGGAATGGCGTCATTGGAAGCTATTAAGGAGCAATCAGCTTATTGTCTTTCGTCCCACCCCCGGAAAGAAATCTCGAGGGATGCAATTACAGAGCACAGATGTTTTCCTCGAGATAAAACCTCTTATTCTACCTCATTAGCAAAGAAACCAGCAATTTCAAATACAAAAGACAAACGATTGAGATATATTTTCGGTGGAAACTCAGAGTGGCGAAATTACGCGTTTTAAGATTTTGGCTTAAAACATTCGCGCAGATTGTTTCTGGTAATTTTGGTTTGTCCATCCTAGTTGTTTTGGTCTGCCAGACATACTTAGGCTTATCGTCATCTTCAGTGGGAGGTTTGTTATATTTCTAAACAATTTACTTGCCAAAAGGTGTTTTTGATACGGCTTACAAAGAAAAACTATTATACGTATACTGAAAAAATCCTCAGAATAAATGACGTTCGATGAACCAAAAAGAAAATCAAAATGACAATAGAGAACTTCCTAATTGAACATGGAGTTAGAAGCTCTCTCATTAATAACATTTCATAGACATGTCTATACGACGATGATATCGCAATTGTAAGAAAAAAGTTCAATAATTGAACGAAAGTACAGTTCTAAAAAAAAAGAAAGTCGAGAGCTAGTGTTAGGTATAAATGAAAATAAGATGAAATTTCTAAAACTCTAGAAGATTAGAAACGTTGTTTCATGTGTCCCACTTGGTCGAAAGGATTCCTTGGCTCTATGTAGGGAGCGTGTAGGAATGCCACTTGAAATGAGAATTGCTTGAGTACAGTAGGGAGAGTTTGGTTCCCCTGTTCCGATTTTTGGAAGAAGTAGCTTGTTATTTATTAGCGTGAGTGTGTGGTTTTAGAGGGCGGAATGTTGAGTTGATTCTAATTTAGATCGGTGGGGGTGAAGGAGGAATATCAAGTATTCCACCACCCTGAGTGAATGGTTACATAGGTAAGAATGTACATATTTATGACTGAGTGGGGTGGGTTTGGATTTAGGGACGATTTTGTTAAGGGCTGATACGACCTCCTGCAGCCAAACCTCGGTGGCTAAACGGAAGACCGAGGACTGACCAGACTGCCGAACACGGGGTTGGTGAGTCTTGTTTGCGGGTAATTTACTGCAAATTACGCAAAAACTGAAATTGCCGGCGGACTGCGATAGGTTCAACCCTGTACACATATGAATAATCCAGTAATCAGTAAAACTCAGTCGAATAGAAAAACTAGACAGTAACTTCGAAAATAATCGGTTCTTTCTGATCCAATTGTAGGACAATATATCCTAGATCCAACTCGGGGAAACTGGAAACGGAAGACGCAGAGATAGTACACAAACATGAACAATTACAAAAAGCATCCAAAATAAGCTGTCCTCGAAATGAAGGTGGTGATAGTGCAGTAGGAAGAATGTTCGAGGATCCGGGATAATCGGGAAATTTATGCGGCACCGAGATAAGCTGGCATCGTTCTCTCTTCGTCAATTCAAACAGCCTAAGATCGATGAGGTTCTTGGATCGAATGGAAGAGCAGATTGTTACCAGAGAAAATTTTGATGAAAGGAGAAAAGAAGGATGTCAGCGTACATAATTAACTGAAGAGACTGATGTCAAAAGAAGGCTAAAGCTAGATTGGCGGAAGATCCAGGCACTGAAGATGACGGAAGCCGAAACGCGTCTGACAGAACCAGCGAGAACAGGCAAACCAAAATGATCGGAAACGACTAAGGTGCAGGCTCATCACACTGCAGACCTCAAGAAGAACTTGCAATTGAAAAAAAAAATTCTTTTTAAATTCTTTTTAGAGGAAAACCAATATAGTCAGTTAATAATCACAAAAGTTTTATAGATTTCTTGCCGTCTTTTACTGTAAATACACTATTCGGTGGTTCATTACGCTTTTACGTTTGCATCTTAAGTTGTATCGTGTGAGATAAGAAGATAACTGATAACCCATACATGTTTAGCGGTCATAATTAATCATGTTAATTATTTCAATTAATTATTCTTTTTGATCTCAACCAAGACCTTAGCGAAAAAGAAAAATTAATTGAAATCACTGATAATTTTAACTTCTTCCAAAAAAATTGAACTTTCCCTTCGTTTGCTAGGAAATGGAAAAATCTATTTATTGTCAAAAGGCCATCGTTTTTAGAGAACTATATCAATAACGTTTACAGTAATACGATGTTATTATGTTACTTACGAAAAATGGGATGAGACCTTTTCTTTTGTCGTCTTCGATTGTTTCTTTTAGTTTGTCAGGTCTCATAGCCAAGTCCGAATCGCTCTCGATATACCTCATTTTCACGAGACCTATCAAACCTGCCTTTTCCACAGATGAATGGGCCTAAAATGTATTGTATATTTTTTAAATTCTTAATAATTTTAAATGACCGGTGTGCGAACCTGTTCGGAGCAATAAGCTACAAGACGGCTGTTGATTTCGGCATCTTCCAAATCGCGTTTTGTTTCTTTGTAGCGCTTAATGGCCTCTGTTCTTCCTGCCAATAAGCAGATTAGGGTCGCTTCGCTCGCTGTCGTCTAAAAAGGAACATGTTTGATATCCCAAAGTAGCTGAATTAGTCTTATACGGAAAAAAACTTACCTGGATGACGCCACCTCCTTTGCTATTGGATCCGGAATGGAGGAAGTCCTCGGGTAGGCCTATCATTTTCCCTAGCCAGTCCATGACGATAATTTCCAGTTCCGTACAAGCTGGGCTCGACGCCTTTATAATTTCTTATAATAAGTTATAACGATTATTTATTTATATCATAAGAAACTTACCCAGGTAAAGCATATACAGTTGAAAGCGTCTGCCAACATGTCACCGAGGAGGGAAGGGTAAGAGTTTAGCGCCGGAAAGTAAGCATGCATATGAGGACTTTGCCAATGAGTAATCTATAAAATGTTCTCAATTAAATTTTCAGGGAAAGATCAATTTTTCAAGATTAATTACCCCGGGCATTATAACTGAATCGACGTCGGCGACGATTTTCTCCCAGGTTTCGGGCTCGTAAGGCGCTTCGGACGGGACCAGTTGTCTCATGTAACCCGGCCTCACGTCAGGAAACACCTTCCGCTCTCGGATATTCTCGAGATAATCGGCTATGTAATCCACCATTTCTTTTCCTTTAAAATAAGGAAGCTTTGATGAGAAAAACAAGCTCAAAATCTTTACTAAATCTTCGTTATTAATCGATTAAATTATCTTGTCTCAGCGCTGATCCTGGCCGAGGAAAATTAATTATTTCTGTTTCACTTAAAACCATAAATGGTTGCCTAAATACAAAAGCACCTCGTGTCAGGCATGTAGAGGTGGTAGACACTGATCATCATTCGGACTTAAATCAATAATTTAAATAGAACCCACTATGGTGACCGTTGTCAGTCGGACGTTTCAAGCAATAAGGTAAAAAGTAAATTCCACTGTGTCTATCATGTAGAATAGACCTTAATATTTTTCTATGTTGCAGGATGAGGGTTATTTGCCAGATGAATAGGAAAAATAGACGTCTTCTAACAGTATGATACAACAGACCTGATTTAGTCGAAAAAAGTTCATAACTGGGTCATAGACATAGAAAATTTTATTGTGCCTAGCAGATCGCACACTGATCATATGACATAAGTGGATTAAAATGTTGCTATTTTACACATCAGGTATGATAGATGTTTCACGCGATGTTAAAAAAGGTCAAGAGACTAAGCCATAAACACCGAAAAGCCTTTTTCTGTCTTGGCATAAATCCCCGAGATATCTATTAATACTGACCAACTTACATTAACCAAAGATTGAGTCATAGATATAGACAAGTCTATCGTACTTGAAAAGTAGCAGCTTACATAGAGCATTAAAGCATCACTTTGACTGTGTCATCTTTGACACAATGATATAAAAAGATGTCCGAGATTAAGTCATAGACACAGAAATATTCATTGTGGGTAGTATATAATATACATACTTATCATCTTCCAATAAAATGTTTCTGTTTACAAAGCACTCTTACTGTATGATGGAAAATGAAAAAAAGCCAGAGAATGGGGTCGTAGATAATGAAAGTCCATCGCACCTAACGTATAACCTAGATACTCTTCTTTAAGAAGAATACAATGTATTTATTTTGCACGATAACTCTTTCACCGTATGATGTTGAAAACAATAAAGAAAAAAGACAGATACTGGGCCATAGATACTGAAAGTAGATGGCAAATTACGTTTTTCATTGTCTGATGTTTGACACAATGATGATAAAGGACAGAGAGTGGGTCATAGGCTCGGAAATATCCATTGTGCCTAGTATATATAATATAAACATTGATCAATTGACAATAAAACGTAACCATTTTACATACAACTCTTTTACTGTGTGATATTGGAAACAATGAAGAAAACAGTCTGATCCATAAATACTGAAAGTACATCGCCTCGTGAAGATAGCATAGATACTGATCATTTGAAAAGAATAAAACGTTTCTTTTTACACAGCAACTTTTCACTGTTTGATGTGTACACAATGATAGAAAAGCCAGAGTCTGGGCCATAGATACTTAGTCCATCGCATCTATTAGATAGCATAGATAGTGATCATTTGTAAGAATAAAACGTTTCTATTTTACATAGCATATTTTTCACTTTCTCTACGATACATTGATGGAAATAAGACAAGAGACTGGGTCATAGATACTGAAAATGCATCGCCTTTAGCAGATATCATAGATACTGATTATTTGCAAGAATAAAACGTTTCTATTTTGCACAGCACTTCTTTCAGTTTTTGTTTAATACAATGATGAAAAAAGAGAAACTGGGACATAGATACTGAAAAGTTCTTTGCGCGTTTCTGTTTTGCAAAGTAGGTTTTTCATTGACTCACTGACTGATATTTGACACAATGATAAAGGACAGAGAGTGGGCCATAGATACTGAAAGTACATTGCGTCTTGTAGATGGTAAAGTACGTTTTTCATTGTCTGATGATTGACACAATGATGATAAAGGACAGAGAGTGGGCCATAGGCTCAGAAATATCCATTGTGCCTAATATACGTAACATAAATATTGATTAATTGACAATAAAACGTAATCATTTTACATCTTTTTCCCTGGTTGATGTTTGACACAATGATGGAAAAACGGCCAGAGAGACTAGGTCGTAGATACTGAACGTCTATCACATCTAGTATAGATACTGATCATTTGAAAAGAATAAAACGTTTCTATCTTACACAGCACCTTTTCACTGTCTGATGTTGACACAATGATAAAAAAAGACAGAGACTGGGCCATAGATATTGATAGTCCATCGCATCAATTAACCAGCATAGATACTGATCATTTGCAAGAATAAAACGTTTCTTTTATTTATGCTGCAAAGTCCTTGGCGCTTGGTATATAAGGTAGATACGGACATTTGACAAGAATAAAGTGTTTCTACTTTACACTGTACCTTTTTTACTGTCTGATGAAAAAAGGCCAGAGATTGTGTTTTAACACAGAAAAGTCCCTCGTGCCTTGTAGTACAGATATGCTACAAAACGATGTTTTTGACAATTGTTAACCCAGGACTTTCGGCGTGAAGCGCTCTTCGTAGTCGTTTCCACTTTGTCCTCTTACAAATGAATATTTCCTTTTTTATATTATGAAGATAAGAACAAATTGTCTGTTTTGTAAATTCTTGTAAGAGTTAAAACTCTGTAAGTTTAATAGTTACATTAAATTAAATAGTTTAATATATAGTTAAATAGTTTAATTTCATCAATTTTTCCTATTTCGCCAGTATTTATTTACATTTTGGTCGTGTGATTTTTCTTTTACTCATAGAAATCGAATTTGCTCATCTTATACATATTGTCAGTTTACAAAAATTAAAATTTATCCCTTATATGTTTTTGTTTGTAGATTTCCGGACTTATTTTAATCATATATGCATACTAATTGTCAAGTGCTTATAGTATTCTACATTCGAATTGTATCAAAGAACTGAGGGAGAAAAAGGAACGGAAGGTCTACAAAAGAGCGTCCCTTCGGTAGTAAATCGGCTGCTTTGCATAGGAAGACAAGCAACCCCCTTCCTATATTGCGCGTACTGGAGGATTCTCTGTTTATTTACTTTAAATCTTAAGTTTTATCGCTCAATCTGGCCCTTTATTAGATCCCTCACTGTCTCATGTAGAGAAAGAAAAGTAAATCCTATCGATTATACGGCTTTAATTGCAAATGAGAAATTGGACCTTCAAATCTTTTTAAATAAATATCACACTGTCATAAATAAATGTGTGGTGATTAGTGACCGTTAATCGATATTTATTTAGAAATCGTGAGATGCGGTCTGGTGTGATGTAGGTGTCAGAAAAACTTTTCTTTATCGTGCCAACGTTTCGATCTTTAATGAGAACAACATCAGGGACTGGGATTTACAAACATTGTTTACATATAACAATTATATTTTGGATGTGGAAAAGTGAATTTATACAATGCAATATATATATATATATTTTTTTTATATATATTCAATCAAAGTAATTCTACTCATTTTCTTCTACGCGCTCTCGACACGACACGCAAGAATGGCACAATTACACATAAGACAAACACGTTCAGTGAGTAGATATACTTTGATAGAATGTAAAAAATATATTTTGCATTGTATAAATTCACTTTTCCATATCCAAAATGTAATTTGTTATATGTAAACAATGTTTGTAAATCCCAAGTCCTGAAGATGATCTCAATAAAGATCGAAACGTTGGCACGATAAAGATAATGTTTTTCTGACACCTACATCACACCAAACCGCATCTCACGATTTCTAAATAAATGTCATAAATAAAATTAATTTGTTGATATTTTTGCCTGTCGGTTTCTTTTTAATATTTTGATTTCTCAACCCACATTTGCTTTACTATAATATGAATTCGGAACACCATATTCATAATATACCAGTGTTTATCTGTAAGATTATAGGCTGAAGCAATTGGGTTGTAGGAAAAAAATATTTTGCGGATAACTGAGTGTTTTGTAGGTGGTTTATGCTTACTTATTTGAAGGTAAATGCTAACTTATATGTGTGTCAATTTCATGTTTTTTAAATAGATTAGGTGTGTTTATCCCTATTAAAAAAAGTTGTTCGATATTATAATGAAGTTTCGTGAATCTGCTTGGTCATTTCAGTCCATTCTGGCCTGCTTAGTCTCGTTGTTTTGGTCTGTAAGGCGGTCAAATCGTTGGGGTTGTACGTCTAATTAATCATGTCCTTGTTTTATAAAAAATGAGAAAAAGCTAAATCAATTGTACTGTAGGTTGCATGGAATTTGTATATCCTATAAAAATATTTTTATTAAGATTGTTTTCTAATATTAAAATATATTAAATCAGTGAATTTAACTGTGCATGCCAGTAGGCCTCCCAACAATAGAGGACCTTGCTTTCTTTTTTTTTTCTCTAAGACATCAATTTTATCAATTATGACCTCATTACATTTTGATTATATTTCTTTTTTATATATGTTAATAATATTACTACATTGCACACAATTTTTTTCTTTATCTTTTCCCAATTATTTAATTTTTGTTTTACTATTATTTTTTTAGTACATTTTTTGGGGTAATTATTTGCTGTAAAAGTTTTTATTAAATGGTTTTAATTATTGTTATGAAATTTAATATCATAATTTTTTAACTTTGTACGGAATTATATATTACATTAATTTTTTGTTTTATTGGATTGGATGAATTAAAATGTAATATTCTATTAATTGTGTGGTTGTTATACCAATCTATTTCGATTTTTTTGATATGTCATAATTTTTATATCTAGAAATGGGATATAATTTTCTCTTTCTTTTTCCAATGTAAACTTTATTAAATTATGTACTTAGTTAATAATTTGACGAACAACTTTTATAACCTACAGTACAAGTGATAGAATTGTAGAGTAAACAGCTAAAAGATTAAAATATTATTTAAAAAATGTATAAATTGGTAAATCACATAAATCGGTGCGAAATCATCGAGAACGGCCGGACCGAAATAATCGGAAACGACCCATCTGTAAAAAAACAGCCATTAAAAATTATTAAATTCATAAGAGTTCGTGGTCCGATTGACCGAATAACGTTTTTCAATTAATTAATCTTTTTATATAAGGCTTTTGGTTGATAACGACTAATGAAAAATTAGTGTCACGAGCGGATTCGAACCCACTTACTCAAGAAGGCCAAGAAAGCTCAAGTGGTAGAGCAGCGGCGTATTTAGCCGAGGGTCGTGGGTTCGAATCCCGCTCTTGACACTGACTTTTTTTATCTCAACAAATACCTTATATTAAAAATTATTGTTCTCTGTTTTTTGTATTGTGTGTAATCTTTAAGAAATAGATAAAAAAATATTATTACCTCTTTTCCGGTATTCGTCGGCATCCATTTTTGGTTAAGATTAAATTTTCAGGGGGGAACTGAAAAATAAAACTGAATTAAACCCTTACACTGGTAGATTCTCGACGTTTTATAAAACAATACGACGCCTTTTGATTATGCGGGGTAAAAAATAAAAAAGTAGAATATAAAGCATACAATAAACAGGTATCCAACTTGGTTTGTAATTGTTTCATTTGTTAAAAGGGTAAATGTAGGACAAGCGTGGGTTCCTAACTGTGGAACCTTTTCTGCCTTTAACCCAAAAAATATCCTCCCGTTGAAAAACAACCAATTTAACAATATCCTGTACAGCATGATTTTGTAATTTTATACGTATTTTATGCCCTAAATCGTTACTCAATTGTGGTGGTAGAAAATTGAGGGAAATCGATGGAAATCAATCGTTAAAAAAATAGTATTTTGATTTTTGTGCGTTCTTTTTTGTTTTTTGATAGGATATTCCTACACTGACCTTGTCCGGATGGCTTCGTATCTTTTACGGCTTCCTAATCTATTCTTCTATTCTTTAATCCGTTGGTGAGAATTATGTTCAGAGGCAACATATCTGCAATTTTCGTTATATTTTATTGCAACATACGATTTCATTGCAAAATTTCTAATACATAAACAAAATAATAGTTGAATACCCGATTGGCGAACTATAAATCCGCCAATTTTCATCCGAATTTGGATCAAAATTTTTAAAGATATTTGTCCGTATAACTTACTTATTAATTATTATTAATTGAACGGTATAATAACTAAAAGAACGATTCTTTAAAAAAAGATTTAAATAAAGATTGAAATTGTTAATGACTTAATCTAAATGTTTAACAACAATTCTTTCATATTTTTATATTCTTGTTTGAAATTTGTCGTTCCCAACCTAGTTAAATAATTTATTACTGTAATCATCTTTAAACTCATTTACTTACAGAATTACTACAAAATGACATAAAAAAAGGGTGAAAATTTTTCAGGTAATAACAAAATATTGGACCTTTGGTCCAATTTTGAAACATATCGTTCATGTGACAATGTTATGAAATAATTATATATTTTTATTTTATAAAATTATCCAAAGAGTATTATAATCGGGTATTATACTGTTTATTGGTGTGGTAATTTTCTCGTAAAAACGCGCAGACCAATCGTGAATCTGATTAAATCACCTCTAGATCTTGGTGGTTGGCAAGACAGACCAAATACATTAAAGTTAGTTTAAAAATTTATAGTTAATACAAAACTGGCCTAGATGTTACGAAAAGATATTTTATAATAAAAGTTTAAAGAATGTAAAAAATTAAACAAATAGTTAATTGCTAATTATGGTTCTCATGACATTAATGTGAGAATTTTGCTTTGCAATAGACAAAAATGGTGTTAGCAACTCTGGTTTTCAAATGCTGAATAAACGAAATATAAAATTTAAAATCTGTCTTTTTAAACAATAGTTCTATCAATTTGATTAAAGAATTTAACATGTGTTAACTACATTTTTTGTAGAAACCAACTTTACCTGAACAATTTTTACCTATAAAATATTGTGCTTGTATTGTTTATTTTATATGTATTTTTATATAGTTTTAGTTTTTTAAACTCGATATTTTTATTTTAAAGGCAAAAGGTACCTAATAATGTAATCAGTCTCTGTATAAATAATTTAAAATAAAACAATTCTCATTAAGCTATTACTTTCCAGATGATAGATGAACTGCAATCTAAAAATTTAAACTATGCTAGTAAAGAAGAAGAAAATGAAAAAAAAAATATCCGCATGGTTAAAACAAGCAGAATGCTTTCAAGTTGGACAATACTATTGAAGAAAGTTGACGTTTTCAAATTCTTAACAATATTCTTCCCAAAATATTTTATACTTACAATAAGTGTTATGTATTAAGAACTATATAAAATTGTTGTCTCAACGGTACCACTGCCGAGATGAATCGAGCGAAACCGTCTTTTTAAAACAAAATTTCAAGTCAGAGTTGTGGGAACAGGTTAATTTCAACTTGATCTTCTCCCTCTGTCCAACCCTCTTTATTTAATTACTATAATAAAAACGTAGCCTTATAATCTGAACTTTTTTTGTATCAAAACGTTAATTAAACGAAGGATTATAGTTTGAAATAGGTACGTGACGATTTTACATTTGTCGCGCGCAATTCGGACTGATATTTTGTACAAACAGTGAGATTAAGATTATAAAGACTGCTTGAACAATTATAGCTTTGATTAAACAAGAGCTTTTTTTATAAATTTATTCCCCAATTGCTTTTTATCCGAATAAATCGGAAATTTAACAGACGATCATGGGCTAATCATAAATGGCTTGAACGCGTCAGGGATGAACTATAAAAAAATAATCGATTTTTTTTCATATTTTTTGTAATTTTGGAAAATTAAATAACTGATTTATGTTTTTAGGCACATCGGTATATTTTGTCTTATGCAATGTATTTAAACATTTTACAGATAGTGATCATAATATTTTAAAGTGAAAAAAGTTTTAAATAATAAATGATGGTTATTTTTTTTTATTATATACATAAATGTAATAAGTATTGGTTTAAAAATTGACTAATGATGGGCTTAAGTACTTATAACAATTAATGGAAAGTTGAATATTAGTAAATTTAGCAAGATTTAGGTAATAGTCAGTAGAATAAAATTCACTGGTAAAAATTGTGCAAACTTTTTGTAGGATTAATCAATATGATAATTTGGTTATAAAATGGACACGTTTGGTACGAATTGTTGCCTCACATAAATAAAAACGTTTTTTAGAGTTAAAACCATGATGTTTTATGCTACAAAACGAGTCATCACCCCCTTCTTCTTAGTTTAGTTTATATAAATTGAATTACTTACATTTTTGATTTTCTTGCTTTAAGATATAATGAGTTATGTTCTGTACCGATTGGCCCTTCTCTGGCGAATGAAAGAGAATCCTCTCGCCCCCTTTATATAGCAGTACTTGGTACATTCCGGTACAAAACTCTATCTCCTCCCTCCAAGGGATAATTTGGTGTCAACCCTTTATTTCAGAATTTGTATTAATTTATCTTCGGCATGTATCAAGAGAATTAAACACCCTCGTCATACATTTATGGAATCGATTAAAAAACGATATTTTTTTTTAAATGTGTTAATCTGACAAAACGATTTTCTGTTTCAATTTTCACTTTATTTCTTCATAAGATACGTGTCAAGGTTCAGAATATTGTTTAAGCTTTCCGTGGAATGGTGGATTTAAACAGAAGGTATTTATTTAGGTATAATAAATCACGTACTAATTATAAGTTTTTTAAACAAAAAATAGATAATGTATAAATATTATACATTTGTATATAGACCGTATACTTAAAGCTAGAGTGGATTTGCAGTGAAAGTTCACCTGAATGGCCATCCATCAGTGTTAGATCCAAATAAAAATATTATTTTTTTAAATGAACAAGCATAATCACAAAGTCTATTGAATTAAGTCCTTCGGATGAAATCTGTGTGTTTAGGAATAAGGAATTTTTTTAAATAAGTTTACATCACAAAAAACTACTGGTCATGTATGTAGAAATCAAGCCCATTAAAAAAAAATATTTTTGTTTCAACCAAATCATAAACAATACAGAAACATTAGAGTTTATTTGCATTGAAAAATTCATCGCTTCACCTTCCAATTTTCAATTTATTTTTCACGTAAGATAAAATTATCATCCTCGGTTTTCAAGATTCGAATTTTCATCAATTGCTATTTTTCCAAGAACAAACAGAAAATATCATCGATAGCTTGATAAATTTCTAAAAAATTTTATAACAAAAAAATACATAGAAAGGCAAATCTTTTTCAAAGCGATGTTAACGATCCATGAGAGATCCTAAGAATTCCTCTGGATGAAAATTATCTTTGAATTTAGTAAACAAAATATAGCACACAAGTAAAAATTTGACTAAAACAATTTTTCAACTAACACTATTTTTTTCAATAATTCAGAAGAATTACATGATATTTAATAATGGCATTTAATATTTATTTGAATAATAAAGGTTTAGCTAAAAGCATAACAAGAAACAAAAGAAGATAAGGTTAAGTGCTTTAAAAGGGTCAAAATCAATCACGATAGCTAAACTTAGTAATAAACTGACTACTAAACCTTACTGATAATAATGAGGAGGTGAACTACTGTGCATAATTGTGCAGGAAATGTTAAGTAAAACTTCTTTTTAATAATGTGAAGATTATTTTCTTTTTCGTTGTCACAGCAAAATACTGTTTCTTTTCTTCTTGTTCTGTTTAAATCTTCGTTTATGTAAACATTTGATTCCTTGATTATGCTATTGACAAGACTGCGTGTTTATTTCCCTACGTGCCAGGGTTATGTGGAAAGAGGAATAATTTCAACTGTACGCTTAAAAATTATCTTAAGGTCAGGTAAAATTTGATTCTAACCAAACAATCGACTCATATAACAATCACAACAAACAAGAACAAACTTACATAGACAATAAATAACAATAAAATTTTCATGACAATTCAATAGCACGATAGAACTAGGAGGGGAAAGAACGAAAAACATACCTGGCACATAATAAAGAGACAAATAATGTTTTTGTTCTAATAAATTTACAACTCATTCATTGCGTTTTAGTCCTTTCCGGTCATCGTGGTCCGCCTATTTTCGCTGTTTTGGTGTGCCAGGCGTGGTTAGGCATTTCAGCATCTTCAGAAGGTTTGTGTCAATTTACCTAAACGAGTACTTGTTTAAACACATTTATCAATTATGAACTTTCTTGTTAAGGTCTATGAACTAGTATTTCTCATCCTTTCTGGTCATCCGGGTCAGCCTATGCTCGCTTTTCTTGGTCTCCCAGGTCGGTTCGGCGTTTCATCATCTTCAGCAGGCCAGGGTTATAAACAGGGCGAAGCGCCGAAACAAACCCAATTCTAAAACGGATAAACATTTATTTATTGCAAGCAACTCGGCACTATAAATCACTGGAGATAGGTCTTAAGGAGAAAAGGTACCTTTGATTTTGACAGATGACATCATGTCCAACATTATTTGGATTTTGGAAGCATCCTTTTAGTCCATATGTGGTTTTCTGTCAGACGTGCTTCAGATTTTCACCATCTCTTATGTTGATGTGTGCAACACCCTGCTTATAACCCTGCGTACCACTGAAGATGGCGAAACTCGTCTTACAGACCAACCTAGCTAGGATAGACAGACGAAAATATATGACTGTAAATAAAAGAAAAGATGTTTTATATATTTGTACTAGACACGGCATACTCATTTTTATGAAAGGTAAATAAAGAAAAAAATGTCTTTGGAAGGTTCCGTTTTGCTTAGTAAACAGGAGACTTAGTTGGCGTGGGTACTTGAATGTAAATCATTTAGAAATAGTATTGATTATTTAATTTTTATAATTATTAGGATTATAAGTTAATTAAGCTTGATTAAGTCAAATTTATGTGATTTGTTAAAAAACCTCCATTGCAATATATACATAAATGACGTTATTTTTACTATTTTGATTATCGAGAGACATAATTGCATAATTTATTGGTTTAGCAAAAGAAATTTTTTTTCCTGTGTAAACGCGAGTTAGGCAAGTACCAATTAAAATGACTGATGTTTATAAAGGGGAATCACACGTAAGAAGATCATATCCTTTGGTAACAACAATAATGATAAAAATTTGTTGATCCATCCCTAAATGGAACGTTTTTCTCCTTTATTACATGGAGCAATGCGAGCCTCAGTGATGTAACGAGAGATTTAAACAAAATCTTTCTCAAATATTTGGAACACATCATTCCGCAGCGGTCATAATGCTTCTATAAATATGTGTTTAATTTCTACAAATAATTAACTTTTCTCCATTACATTTTTAGCATCTTGACATTGGAACCGAAACGATATCTGTACTGTTAATATGATTTTCTTCGTGGTTTTTTTTATTAATTTAATAATAATGAAAATCATTTGTCTGGAATTACATTATATATTGCTTTGTTCAGGAACTTCTTTTCCCTAACAACCCTCATTCTGTGATCATTTTAACTTAAGGACGATAGCTTTGTTTATCACATTATTCGATTTGAGTAAAAAGTAAGAAAAAACCTCGACCTTGGTAGCACATAAGAGTATACTTTATTTTTTCAATTACTATTGGGAGATCGTGAGATTCGGTCGGGTGTGACGTAGGTTTGAGAAAAAACATTTTCTTTATCGTGCCAACGTTTCGATCTTTATTGAGATCATCTTCAGGGCCTGGGATTTAAAAGCATTGTTTAAATTTAACAAATACATGCAGTATGTGGGAAAAAATGAATTTATACAATGTAAAAAATTTGTTTATATGCAATCAAAGTATTTGTACTCACTGAAACTGTTTACAACTCAAAGTGAGTACAAACTCAAAGTATTTGCACTCAATTAAAGTGTTTACAAACTCAAAGTGAGTCTAAATACTTTGATTGAATATAATTTTTTTTTGCATTGTATAAATACATTTTTTCTCACATCCTACGTGTATTTGTTAAATTTAAACAATGTTTGTAAATCCCAGACCCTGAAGATGATCTCAATAAAGATCGAAACGTTGGGACGATAAAAAAAATGTTTTTCTAAAACCTACGCCACACCAGACCGCTTCTCACGATCTCCGAATAATTATTGACTAACGGTCACTAACCACCACACATTTATTTTTTCAAATAAGTTACAATATGGCAGAATAAAAATATCTAAGTGCTTTAGAGCACGGATTTTATTCCGACTGGAGAAGTTGTTTTTACAAAAAGTTACTACAAAATGAATAGAATTTGTTAGATCGGCAAAAAGAAGGTTCCTGAAAGTAGAACTTTTTTGTTTTCAAAAATTAAATTATTTAACCAGTCAGTACCTATACTTCCAAGCATACCGGGCATATGTTATAATAAGCATAACGTTTTCCTTAACAGACACTCAAGTAGTTATATACCCTTGTTAGTCGGAACGACCCTGCATCCAAAAATCGCACTTCCCCAAGGATAGTACATTCCGCCATATGGAATACTTTTTTAACAGCAAAGCCTCAGCCCTGACTATTTAGGCATACAGCACTTCATAACTTGAACACCTATCGAAGGACGGATAAGTCTAGGCCATCTAACTTTAGTTTCCGAAATACAAACAAACCAGGCCTCTGACAGCTGTTTGTAAAGATATATATCTTTGGCTGATAGATGAACTCGAAGGAGGGACTAATCACGATGTACATGGGAAATACAGCTAAGAGTTTGACAAAGAGTTTTATTCGGTTATATTCTCTAAGTTTTGTTCATAATCCGGCATGTTTCGAATAAGAACTTTCAATGAACCATGGTAGTCTGGAGTTAATTATATTAGCCGATATATTGGCAAGACTAGACTCTGATGACCTTAATGTTTTGACTATATAAGGAAAGTGAAGTTTTCTAAGGAAGAGGATTCAAATCCCCACTTGGTGTGATGGGAAGTTTGCTAAACTCCATTTTTGTGAGCAAGGAGTCAAAACAAGGACGAAAAATTACCAAGAAGACATCCTTGAGAAAGTAGTAAAGCCCTTAAGTACTACTCTTTTTTTCCGGAACTCATTGGGTCTTCCAACAGGACTCAGCTCCTGCGCACAAGGCCCGAGCAACTCAGCAGTGGCTGGAGGAGAATGTTCCGGAATTCATTAAAGCTTCAGATTGGCCCTCGGGAAGCCCACATTTGAATCCTCTGGACTACAAGGTGTGGTCCCATCTTGAGCTTATGGCTTGCCACAGGAAACACGCCAATTTAGAGAGCCTCAACTCCGCTCGGCTAAAAGCAGTTGAGAAATTTCCTCAAGACCTGTTGCGTACTGCCATAGGTGATTGGCCCCGAAGACTAAAAGCTTGTCTGAAGGCAAAAGGTGGTCATTTCGAGTAATATTATTTTATTTCAATCTTAAAAAATATTGAATTTTTTTAAATAAATTTCTTTTTCAAATTGTCAAGTTTCTCTATTCCCTAATGGCCCTTTTTCTTGTAACAGAACTTATGGCAGGACTAAGTATATGCTTTTTGTACAATTCATATTTGTATGTTGTTATTTTGAGGAAAAAGAAATAAAAAGCATTTCTATTCTATTATCGTTGTTTTTCCGCCAAGATCTTTTTTCGATATATGTATGGACGAGGAGAGATTAGGCGTGAGTATAGCTCTTAAGTATTTGTATTTATAGATATTTCGATTCTATCCCCCTTGAAGAACTATCTATCTGAAGAACGGAATCGACCCACTCTTCTAAAGACCATGATTTTGGATTTATTAAAATTGTCATACAAGTTCTACTGACCACAGTATGATTCTAGCATGTTAATGTACTTTTGAAGGCCTACTGCAATACTTGTCAGTATGACTATGTCATTTGCGTTATATTATTATTTTTTACTCCCGTAGCTTAGAACAGATTAGAGGTCATCCAGATAAAGGGAAAACATAATTGGAATTAGCAGACATCTCTGTCTTACTCAAGAAAGTACTTCGAAATAGTTGGAGACACCTTTTTTACCCCGTCACACAGGATGCCGTTTACGAAAACAGAAACTTCTAAAATTCCTAGTAGTTTAGTAGAAAAACCTAGACCATTCAGCATCAAGATCAAAGCCCTGCGATCCACTCTGTTGAAGGCTCCTTTCAAGTCAACAAAAAAGCAATACACTTTCTGTTTAGGCTTGACCAATACCATGCTAATGATGTCCGACAGGAATACAATGGTGTCACACATCGAGTAGCCTTTCCTAAAGCCCATTTGGCATTGGCTTAACAAGTTATTCGTGGACGCAAAGTCCTCCTTACAGAGCATCCAAACAGGATATGTTTCTGTAATTTGTGGCGTCGTTGACATATCTTTGCTTAAAAAGAGGTTGTATAATGAATTTACCAAAAGACGGAGGAATGTATTCTTAATTTAAAACTCTAAAAGGTGTTCAAGGAATCCGAAAGGAGCACTTTTGTAGAATTCTCCTGTCTGAATCCAGGGATTTATTGTTTTTGAACCTGCTAAGTACTGTTTGTATTTGACTAAAAAGTGGATGAGAGAGAGACATGTGAATATCTAAGACTAAACATTCCACATAAAAGAGAACTGCACTACTACCCGTAGGAGTATTGGAAGAGATTCAAAATGTGCAACTCAAGAATTATGAGTTAAAGTTGGGTGCCGCGGTAGCCGAGTGGTTAAGGCGTCAGACTCTCGGCTAGTGGTCCCGCGGTCGTGGGTTCGATCCCCACCGTCGCCTCTGGACTTTTACTGACGCCTAAGGGGACCGGTGGCCCCAATGAAAGTAAATGACACGGCACTCATCATTGGAAGGAGCGGGATCAGATCTCAGCGACCCTGAATTTGGTCCCAACCCCCTTCAAAAATGAGTTTCTTCGATGGAAGAACACCGGTACAATGGGGGCTCAAATTCACACTTGTGTTGCGAGCCCCAAAAAATGGAGCCAGGGATAAAGTACAATAGCTGTACAGCTGCAGTGCTCAGGAGGGAACTCCACCAGTTCTTGGTATCCATTGTAAAAAAAAAGAAAAGTTAAAAAAAGAGTTAAAGTTAGCGCATAACTGCATCAATCATCGTATAAACATCTAGGAACCAATAGGTATTGTTACTAATAAAAACTTATAAATATATATCACAGCTGGTTGGCATGCATTTAGTCATTTCTAGTAAACACCGGAAAACTTCCTACTACTTAAGGCTTAATTTTGTACAACTTGAAGCTTATTATAATTGAATGCACCATACAGAAGACGCATAGGTAATTATGGGCCTAATATATAATTTATAAATTCCATCTTCTTTGGGTAGGGGTAGTGATTACACTTATTACCTGGAACTAGACAAATATGCATATACCAGGCCAGGGTCTATGCCTACTTTCTAGAGGTCTTGGAGACTTTATCGTCTTAGGATATTCTGAGCATTGTTCTGTGTGTTTATTATCAAAAGCCTCGTTGTGTAACTTCACGAGTCCAATCTTCAATCACGTACAAAAGGTCTGGCCAAAATAAGTTAGAGTTTCATGTTTTAGCATTTGGCTCAAGTAGTCAAATGTTCAGAGCTCGGGTGTTCGATGCTCATATTATCAAGATGGAAAGTTTCCGTGATCTTGACGACTGAAGACCATGGACTTTTGCCAGCGTTCTTACTGTTGTTT